TCTGTGGTGCCCAACAATATTTCCTCAATACCATAGCCCCAGATACCTCTCCCTGTGCAACATTTCCTATTCTGAAAATTAAAGTTAACTTCTGGGTCACCTGGGAGGTGCAGTCAGTTGAGCATCAGACTCTTGATCTCAGCTCAGGTCTTTTTTTTTTTTTTTTTTAAGATTTTATTTATTTATTTGAGAGAGAGGGAGAGAGAGAGAATCTCAGGCAAGCCAACTCCCCACCGAGCAGGAAGCCTGACGTGGGACTTGATCTCAGGATGGTGAGTTCACGTCCTGCATTGAACTCTACACTGGGAGTGGAGCCTGTTTCAAAAAAAAGAAAAGTTAACTTCTGACTTAAGTTTCTGGGAAGGTGCTGTGGCCCCGCCCCGTTGGGCAGGAAGGGCTGCTGAAAGGCTGGGAGCAGAGAAGCCTCAAGCTTGTGCAAGGGGAAGAAGCTCCTCTGCAAGGCTGTGACTGAGCTGTTGGCACAGGGGTGTACTGCTGAGTCCCCCAGCAGTGCAGCCTGGGGCCTCAGAGTATGGTCTGTCAGGCAACTGAGCTGAGAATGGACTCTCCAAAAAGTCAGCCTTCTCTGAGGGAAGGTTGTTATTGCTGGAAATCACTAATTCCACTGCCCTTTCTGGAGTGTGTCAGTAGTACCAGAAGTACAAGTGACCAGAAATGGGGTCAGGCCTCAGAGCCATGCTCTGTCCCCATCTCTGTGATATGGTAGCTATATTGTTGGGCTATACTGTTGGGCTGACTGCAGGTTCCATGCGACCTGTGGGAGGAGATGGAAGCCAGAAAGAGAATAAGGTGGAAGTTCAGAACTTGTCTTAGACAAACAGGGTAGGACAGGAAGGTCCCCACTCTCTCAGGACTCATCTGCTCCCAGGAGACCAAAGACCTCCCAGGAAAAGAGTCTGCTGTCCGGGGCAGGGGCAGGGGCAGGGGGAGGGGAGGGCTCTCCCAATGGGGCATCTGGTCACAGTCCTGGGAGGTACCCACAGATTCAAGAGCACCCCCACAGGCCTGAGTGGGAAGCCTTAGTACCACCATACACATGTGATGCCCATGGCTCAACCCATTGCCTGCATTGGAGTGGGCAGGCCCGCAGGCCCCAAGGCAAATACTGCAGCTATAGAAGCACCCTTGGAGAAGAAGAGCTTCAGGCCAGCGAGGCCAAGGATGATGATCTGAGCAGACTGGCAGGATCCGATCTCTTTCACAGCCACATGGAACTACAGCCCAGAGGCACTGACTCTCTGACTTACAGTTTTGAGCCTAAAGATTTAACACTCGGACCCAGAGAAGAGTGATACTAATCTGAGGAAGAAGCTGTTGTCCTCAGTGGACAGAACTGATGGAGCCACAGGGTGAGGGAAGGAGGTGTTCTGGAAAAGGGCTCAGCCTGTTTGGAGCTGGGACAGGGGCTAGGTCCAGGGTCTCACTTGGGTGGAAGGAATAGTCAGAGGAAGGTGCCTGTGGGCAGGGTTCATGGCAGCACTGCTGTGCCCAGAGTGTAAAGTGGCCCCTGAAACATTCCCCAGGGCCATGTGCCTCCTGAAGGCTGCTTGGAGCAACTGGAGCCGGACCCTCTGGCTTGCATGCAGCTGGGCACAGACTGGAAGAAGGCTGAGCCAGGCCCCAGGCTGTGTGTGTCTGCTCTGGGCACTCAGCACTGCAGCGACCCCTGAGTGCACAGGCTGCATGAGGTTCTGGGATCTCTGTCTGGGGCCCTACAGGAGATGTTGAGCTAGTCTTGGTTGTCCCAGGGCCCCCCTGCTAGACCCAGGATGTTTGAGCACGGGGAGAGGTTGGCTGTGTGGGGCTGTGTCTCTGCTGCTAGCACAGAGATACAAGGCAGAGTCATTGGGCTCCAGGGCGTCCACGTGAAGGTAGAACCTGGAGCTGTCTGGGCACTCAGGTGAGAAGCGACCGGAAGCAGTCTCATTCTCAACAAGTACCTTGTAACTGTAGGCAAACATGAGCTTTGGTGGCTTCTGAGCGCTCTGTTGATACCAGTACACAGCATTATGTCCCAGATGTTGTTCACACTTGAGGGTCACTCTCCTCCCTGTCTCTGTTAACAGGTGTTTTGGGATCTGGGTAATTCCAGTGTCCATGGGGACTGTTGAAAGAAAGGTCAAAATCAGACAAAGTCCAGAAAGAACAGTGTTGCTGTGGCCACAGGGACTCTGCTTTGGTCCAGGGCAGCCCCTGGAACATGAGACTCACCTGCTCCCAGTAGACAGAGAGCCACAGAGCACAGCAGCCTGCAGCCCATGGTGCAGTCAGAGATGTTGTGGGCATCATCTAGCTTGGGTGTCCTGGGGAAGGGGCTGGGCTCTGGTCTCCTGGGCTTTGGTTGGTGATTTGCCTGTGATGTCACTGTCCCTGTCATTTTCACCAGCCCCAAAGTGTATTTCTTCTTCCCCTTTCACACCTTTTGTAGATTCTGATAGAAGGTGAATTCAAACTGACTGTGTTGAGCTGTCCGTCTACCAGTTGCTCTCACACTATTAGTTTCTCGCCTCCTTATCCAGACTCTCTCTCCATCCCCGTTCCTTCTAAGGCCCTGCTCAAAGGGCACTGTTCAAGGGAGAGACCATATCTGCATCAAGGGAGCTCCTTCCTTCCATTTCAGCTGTGTAGACATCACCTAAAAAGTCATTTTCTTCAGGATCTAAGCCACATTGAGCCCTTTTGTCCATATCTGTGGAAAGGGGACTTCGAAGAGAGTGCTTCCATTTGGAGCCAGTGCCCTCCATTAAAATAGGCAGACTGTGCTGCCAGTGAAGAGCCAGGCACTGGGAAGGGTGGTTGAGGGAACAAGGGATCAGCCAACCTCCACCCCAGTACTGAGGGTAAAATGCATGACTGGGCATAGAGCAAACAGGATGCTCAAGGAGAGCAACACAAGTCATCCGAGTAAAACAAAGGAAAATCAATTTAATTAATTTAATTTTATTTTTTAATAAATTTATTTTGTATTGATGTTCAATTTGTCAACATATAGAATAACACCCAGTGCTCATCCTGTCAAGTGCCCACCTCAGTGCCCGTCACCCAGTCACCCTCACCCCCCACCCACCTTTCCTTCCACCACCCCTACTTCGTAGTGAAAGGGAATAAAGGGGAAGGGAGAAAAAATAAGTGGGAAATATCAGAAAAGGAGACAGAACATGAAAGACTCCCACTCTGGGAAACGAACTAGGAAAATCAATTTAAAAATGATTTACATTTACTATCTTTGAGGAATCTGCAACCAATGCTCCCACTGGACCTAAGGATGCAGCTCCAATGCCCTGCTTCCCTCAACATTCCTTCTACTATTCACTCTTCCCACCACTCACCCCAGCCTTAGAGTTTCAAAAGAGCCCCAGCGCCTCCTTTTGGGCAAGGCAGCGTTATCCCAGTTTGCAGACTTCTTAGCAGCCCAATGGTATCAGTTTAGAGGATGCCTATTCCTCATTCAACAGAAGAGAGGACAGGGGATGAGGGTCAGTGGCTCTGTGAGGGGTACAAGATGTATGCAGGTGTGAAGAGGAAGGAAGCATCTGAAACAAAAAAAGAGGCAGCAACATGGCCTTTCATCCATTGACCTAGGACATTAGGTCTCTACTCATTTTTCTAAATGTAATAAAGTTTAAGTATTTTCAGGGTGGCCACTAAAACAAAAAAAGTAAAGGTATAGAAATTAGAATTTAAGCAAAGGAATTGATATTCTTCTCCTGAATGAGGTATCTAATGGACCTCCAATTCACTAAATCTGGAGATAATCCCATTCATAGACAAGAATCCAATATTAACTGTGGTGGAAAGGCTAGGATTGTTACTAATATGCTAGACATCCATTGTAGCAAAGAGTCACTGATCGGCTGTTCTACAAGGAAAGAGCAGAATATGAATAAATAAAAAAATTTTTGCATGGTTTGGCTTCCAAAATTAGAGTTCTAAGGATTGCAAATAACAATTTAATATAAACCGATATCTGGAACACTAAGGGGAAGTGAAAAGCTCAGTTGCCCTAAGAACAATAACTAACATAAGCCTTTCCCAAAGCAAGGGGTAGAGGTGAAAGGCTGAATGGTGAGTTTAAGTGACCTGAATTAGGGATGTGCCCGTGGAAGGAAAATGATGTAAGGACAACCCGAATCAGGGGAGAACACTCAAGAGGTACAGTGGGACACAGGTAAGGAAATTGATATAAACAATGTCTGTATATAATAATAATAATGGCAAATGTGGCTTGAAGATCCCAAGAAAGCTTGGGTTTGGGGCACAGAGTCCTGAAAAGGAAACCTTAGAGTGAGTGTAAGGAAATCCTCTCTTCTTGGCCACATCCTGATGGGCATGCACAGCGTGGGAGTCCAGAAGCTGAGAGAAGACAGGTTCTACTAGGCTGGAGAGCAGAGCAGAGACTTCAGAAGATGTGGAGCTGGAAGCCACTGGCATTCAGACCCAGCTAGGATGAGAAACAGTGGTGAAAGTGCTGTGGTTCCCCACTGAGACCCCTAAAAGGCCATGCATTAGTAATAATGACACATGCCAGGGCTCCCTAAAGAATCATTTAGGTGTCTCCTCATTGATTATTCCATCCCCACACTCTCACTCTTCTGATCTATACTGTACCAGTGCTGTTGTACCAGATTCCAATGTGCTCATGCTACCTGGCTTCAGGTAGGACCCATGACTAGCTACTGCCTTGAGATTCATGTCCAAAGTCCTTTGAAGGTCTATAATATCCTCCATCATCTAGGTACTGCATGATCTGCAGGAATCTTCAAGATGCCACTGGATCTGAATTGAGAAGAATGGCCCTGGTCATCCTTCTGGAAAGGAGGGAGTCTGCAGAGCACAAGCCTACCCCTCCTGGTGCTTATCCTCAACATTTTCTTTCCAATTCACCTGTTGCCAGAACTTTCATGCTTCTCCAAAGAGATTTCTATCCAGCAAACTCGGTGATGATCCGAATATTCTTACAATCTTAGATATTTTTATCTTCATCTGTTTTTCCTCTTTAGGCTGATAAGTAGAATTATGTAAGGCTTCTCAGAGCATAACTGTAGATCTGCCCCATCAAGGATGTTGGCAGCCTGTACTAGAGATAAGAAACTCCAGTCAGGAAGCTCACTGGGAGTGAAAGGGGCCTCAGGGTCAGGTGAACATGTAGCCCTGGTGTACAGTTGCCTGGCTGAGCCAGGGGGTTTGTGCACAGGGAGGTAGTGACTTTGCAGGGCTGTGTCTTGACTGCTGGCACAGAAATACACAGCAGAGTCACCTGTCTCCAGGGAGTCGACATGAAGGTTTAAATGAGCTTTGTCAGATGTCTCAGGTGAGAAACGACCTGGAACTGATTCATTTAGAATGAGTTCCTTATTGTTGTAGATAAACATAACATTCAGCAGTTGCTTGAGGTCTTGCTTATACCAGTACATAGCATTATGGCCCAGATTTTGTTCACATTTTAGTGACTTCTTAGATCCCACGTGCGCGATGAGGTATCTTGGAGTCTGGGAAACTGTTGTGTCCAGGGGTGCTGAGAAGGAAAGGAGAAGAATTCAGACCAGTCCCAGATGGCAGGCTCTTGCTGGCCACATGATGAACAGGCCTAGAGACTTAATTTTGCAGCACACCAGCTGGACCAAGGACTCACCTGCTCCCAGGAGGCAGAGGACCATACAGCAGAGGAACCCGGAGCCCATGGTGGAGACAGGCACAGTCTGGTCCTCAGTGGTAAGAAGGAGGCGGCAGTTCTCCACTGCCCTGACAGGTGCGCTGCCCGTGATGTCACAGCCCAGAATGACTTCCCCATGCTGGGCCTCTCCTCTTCCTTCATTTCCTGCCCTTGTGCCTTTCAAGACATGCTAATTTCTCCTCTTTTCAAAGGAATTTGGAATTTCTGGGGATAATTTGAATGGGGCAGCCTGTAGACTCAAGGATTTTTTTCTCTTTTTTTTTTTTTTTTTTTTTTTTTTTTTTTTTGCCTCCCTGGCTTTTGGCTCTCCCAGATCTGGCCACCTCCTCCCCATTTAGGCTTGACTCTTAAAGTTGGGAAAGTTTCTCTTACCTGGATCCACTCCTTCTCAACAGCAATGCAGGGTGATCCCATTCAAATCTCCACTCCTTCGAATATCTATGTATCCTCAGCAGCCCCCTGGTTACTTCAGTTGTGGACAAGAAAACCACCGTGGGGTCTCACACAGGCATCAGCTGTAGACCATTAAAATGCATGAAGAAATATTAGGAGCAAATTCTGTTGATGCTTCTCTTTGAGGAAGAACATACTGCAACCCCATTCCCTGTGAAGGTGTTCTCTGTCTGAGGGGCAGAGCCATGTAGAGCAGGAGGCAGCTAGGCAATGAGAAGCCCCTTTGGGACAGGACCAAACGGTTGGAGAGGTGAATGACAACATGGAAGTGGAGGAAAACCTGGACTTAACGACTTTACTGTCCTTGGCCTGTCTATAGGTCACTTTCTTTTGTGGTCCCAATGTTGCAACTTAATGTTTAGCCTAAGGTTTCTCAACCTCAGAGATATTGCCATATTACAGTACTGGATGTCGGTGTTGTGGGCACTGCTTAGCAACAGCACTGGTGTCTATCCACTACATGCCAGTAGCACACCCTACCGCAGCTGGAGTAACAAGAAGTCTCCAACATCACTAAATTGCTCCTGTTGACAACGACTGCCCCCTTTATTCATTCCAGCCACCCCCAGCCCCACTCCATCACCTCTTTCATGGGGTTCTGGAAGAGCAACAGCTCCTCCTAATGGTCACCAAGGCACACTTCTCAGATCTCACTTCCCTCCTGGGCAGAGTCCAGCGCTTATTAAACCCAAGTAGGGAGGAGCTAGGCATGAGAACAAGACACTATGACTGCCACCGAGGCAGCAGGCACACACACATACACTCACATCCACATCCGCCACACACATGGTTTGGCAACACTAACTGTCAACTACTGGTCCACTTCGTCAAACACAAATGTTTGCCTTTCCTTTTTATATTTTTTTCTTAATTGAACACAGAACAGGTGCTTGGGACGCAGTAGCGAACCAAACAGACACAACCACCACTCTAACACGCTTTCCTTATTTGCTGTCATTGAACAGCTATTTAGTGCAAAGCACAGGTAAGGCAGTATTCTCATATTCGTGAGGCTTGCATTCTGATAGGAACAAAAAGAAATTCACAGACTACTCTAGACATATTAAATATAAATTTTATAGAAATGAGGCTATAATCAGTAGTAATGCAGCTTAAAACTACTCTTTATATGACTTCTCACTTGTTCATCTCTAAAACAATGGGCTGAAATAAATAATTTCCAAGTCTTTTTCCAGCTTTAGATTGTAAGATGCTATCCAGGGGGACCCCTAGATGATTGCCGGATTAGTGGGACTTATGCATGCAGTTCCCAGGTACCTACCTCAATGTCCCACTCAGCTTACATGGGAAGCTTTACAAAGAAAGAAGGTGAGGAGGAGAGTAAGAGATTATACTCTGGTGACAAAGGATATTTCCGAGAAACAACTTTTCCCTGAGAGTTACTGCCAATTTGTTATCAGCAGCTAGGAAACTAAAAAGCCAGAGAAGACTGAGGTGTGAGAAGCTTGGAGGATCTCACAGGGACTGACTGGTCTGGGTAATAGCGTTTGCGTTCAGGGACTGCCACCTAGGAGAGAGTTCCAGTAAGACCTAAGCACTGGGGCTCAAGTAGGAGCGGGGATTGACTGAAAATGCCACAAAAGGACTTTTTTGGGGGAGGGGATGGAAATGTTTCAGAACTGGATTGTGGTGGTAGTTGAGTAGTGCATAAGTATATTTAAACTCACTGAGTTTGTACATTTGAAACGGGTAAGTATTATGTCATGCAAATCACACTTTAGTAAAGTAAAAATACTCTGCAAGTTTCATTTGGTACCTAAATGATCACATACTAGGAGGAAAGTTGAACAGACATCAACAAACCTGAAGTTTAGTTTAAATTCAACTCACTTACCAACCAGATTCAGAACACTTGCGCCTACCAAGATATCATAGTGTAAGCAAAAAGGAATCGTCTCTATAAAAGAATACATGATCCATAATCTTCATCTCCTCTCTAAAATTTTTCATATAAAATATCCAGCATTCAAACACATATCATCTGTTGTTGAGGAGACAGGATGACATGGCCAAAACCAAAAGAGAACCATAAGAAACGGACCTAAAATGATTCAGATGGAGTTTTCAGACACTGACATGGAAATAACTGTTATTAATATGTTCCACAAAGTGGCCAACAAAATGGAGAATTTTAGTAAACAACTGAAAACCATAGTAAATACTTAAGTGGAGATTGTAGAACCGAAATACACAAAACACCTACGATTAAGGTAAACCTGTATGGTTTTAAAAGCAGAACCAACAGAGTTGAGATGAATAGGTAAGTGGAAGATAAGTCAGATGGAAATATCTAGGCCAAATCATGTACAGAAAGAAAAAGCGTGGAACATGTGAAAAATAAGAATGTTAATTGGGCCATTTTTATAGATAAGTGGTTGCTCCTCAATCTACAATTTTCAAAGGATTTTGAGACAACTACAAAAGCTTCATCCATCAGTTCTCATCCTCCTGATTCAGAATTGTCTCATAGAACAATAACTTCCTGATGTTTCTGGCTGTGCATGGCTAAGTTTCAAGCGGCCTATTTGAGGGTCTCAATCATGGCCACAGAGTATACAGGAAGGAAGCTAGATACATGGACCATATTTAAGAGGAGGTTCTATCTTTATTGAATGGGTCATTGTCTGCTTGGAGGAGGTGCATGAATTAGTTGTGGCTGGAATCAGTGTGGGGCCAAGATGACAAGCAGTGATACAAAAGAGGCACTGGATACAGTCCACTCCTTGCTTTGCTTCAAGTCCAAATACTAAGGTCTTCAGGTGGTGGCCAGCTGCAATCCCTCCAAGCACAGGTTTAGGGCTGTGGGGGTGCTATACTCAAAGCGATAACTGATATTTATTATCTCCTTCATCACCAATTATATAATTTCTCCAACTTTCCTTAGCACTTTAGTGTTCTAAGTCATTTGCTTGTCGAGATGATCTAGACATTCATCTCTGTGGGTTTCAGTCCCCTCAGGTGCCTCTTTTGTCAGACTAGGATGGTTGCAACTGCAAAATTGTCATTATCACCAGGAATTTAGGCACCAAGTGATGCTTGAATTAGTTCCCTGAATTCCAGGTAGAACTTTCCCCATTTCCACTGTGTAGCAGAAACTCTATTGCCTCATGATAATAAGATCAATACCTCCATCCTTACAACTGGATCGGAGCAAAAGGAGTCCCAATGACCAGGTATTCTCATACTTCAGGTTCACTGGAATCTTTACCATGTCCCGTGGTGGAAGCATCCACCATGCGCCTCCCTCTACTGAGGAATCACAACCTCTTATCCAGGGACTTTTAGTACAGGAAAATGATGTTTGAAATTAAAACTGGGTCACTGGGAGCTGTGAGGAGGATACCTATCCTAATCCCACCAATGGCTTCTGGACTCATGGATTGTGACCATACTCCCATATTTTAGCTGTTTGTTCAGTCATAGCACATTCTAGAGCATATGACCCCAGCGCCACAGGTGTTAGTTCTGAGCAGCCCCTTAGCCAAAATTATAGTACATTCTTTTTTCTTTCATAAAGACAGATGCATCTGAGAGATCCGTATGTGTAAAGAAATTGGACCTCATGGTTATAAACACATGATTTCATTTCCTTAGCACTAAAATGGGATCCTTTAGTCTGAAAATTTCTATGAGACCTCAAATCAGTGAGACAGTCATTCTCTACCCCTTGATGGTGGTGCTGCCATGGATGTTATTGAGTAAATGAATATTTCCTGTGTCTGTGTGATAAGCTCTACTCACGATTTTTCCCCTCCAATCAATGCTTGATCTCATTCTGACTTATTAGAAGGAAATCCATTCTTTTGTTTCGAAGACTTCCCTCTACCTTTCTTGTTCCAACTCATCAAAAACACCGGGGTTTTATTCAAATCGAGACAGTGAATCTGACGGCCCCATGTCAAGTTTGGGGGACTGATTCATTCCTGCTCCCTTCTAGATGCTGTTTGGATTTTGCTGCTAAATTCTGATCCTGCAATCCCAGCCTTATTCTGATGATTCTCTTACTGGTCTAGACCTCTGTTAGCCTGAAGTGGGGTCCCAATAATGGACTCCATCTTTGCTGTTCCCTTAACATTCTCACGCCAAGTAATGCATAAGGGACTTACTGGGAAGACATCACCGACAATTCAGGCCCTTGTGTTGACTTGCATATCCTCCTTAAGATTTATCTTGGAAGTACTCTATACCTTCATGCAAATATCAAAGTCATTCCTTGGTAATCACTTCTCCATTCTATGAATTAAAATGATTTATTTCTAAGCTATCCAAACAACGCAAAACACAATCCAAGATACAGAAGGAGGTAAAGAGAGAACCTAGGTCTTTTGATGGTGGCTTCCTGGGAAGTAACTCTCCCAACTTTGGAGCCCACGATAACCCTATAGTATATATAAAGATACTGCAAAACACACGCCCTGGTCAGTCATGCCAGAGATATCCTCTTTTGGTAATTTAAATTCATACTTCTGTGTATTTAGAGACGGCTGAAAAATCAAGTCCAGTCGGAAAGGGATCTGGGTGCTAGAAAGAGGCAGAAGTATGAGGGCTTGTGTGCAGGCTGCAGGTGTCTTGGAAAGGCTGTGGCTACACTGCTGGCCCAGAGGTACATGGCTGAGTCTCCCAGCTCTGTGGCTGGATCTCCACAGTGGACAATGGTGCATCAGGATTTCCAGCTGAGAATCAATTCTTGAATATTTAGGACTTCTCCAAGAGAGTATCCTTGTAGAATAAAATTAGAAACTCCACTTTCTGCCCCAGCATCTGTCTCTACCAATGGAGGTATAAGTGACCAGAGATGGGGTCACACGTCAGGATAACTCTCATCCACCTCTCTGTGACCAGGTGGCTGGGAGTTTGTTTGACTTCAGGTTCTGTGTGTCCTGTGGGAGGAAAAAGAAGCCAGAGATTGAATAAGGAAATGGTTTAGAAGAGCCTCAGGTAAGTCCAAGATGAGAAATTCCCAAGGATTCACCTGCTTGCAAGACACTAAATATAACCCAATACAAGAGCCAGATATCCATGGCAGAGTCCGGGCAGGAATGAGTCTTCTCCTAGCTCAGGCCTCTGCACCCCATGGATTCCTGCTACACACACTGGGGCGCCCCCTACAGGAGAGAGGAGGGAGCCTCTGTGTCAGTGCAGGCATCTGACTCCCCAGGACACAGGGGTCTGCTCAGCCCATGGTGTCTGCTAGCCTGTGCAGGATGGAGGACCATGGCACGGGGCAATGCCAGAAATCATGGGGTTCGGCAAGGACAGCCCCGAGGATGCAGTCCTGCTCTGAAATGTCAGGGGCCTTCCAGTCTTATTGCCTGTTGTGAGCAACAATCCTGGGGCAGAGGACTCTGTGGCTGATAATGCAGGATGTGAAGACCTGAAGAATTAGGATGAGAGTGACAGAAGGAAAAGGAATTAGGCCTGAAAGCGTCACAGCTGAGAGGAAGAGAGGCTCTTGGGGAGCTCAGTCCCGGGACATGTAGCAGACAATGACCTGGAAAGAATGATCCAAATCTGAGGAGGAAACAATTGTCCTCAGAGGTAGGAACTGACTGAGCTGGGTGGTGAGGGGAGGAGGTGTTCTGGAAAAGGGCTCAGCCTGTTTGGAGCTGGGACAGGGGCTGAGGTCCAGGGTCTCACTTGGGTGGAAGGAATAGTCAGAGGAAGGTGCCTGTGGGCAGGGGTCATGGCAGCACTGCTGTAGCCCCTGAAACATTCCCCAGGGCCATGTGCCTCCTGAAGGCTGCTTGGAGCAACTGGAGCCGGACCCTCTGGCTTGCATGCAGCTGGGCACAGACTGGAAGAAGGCTGAGCCAGGCCCCAGGCTGTGTGTGTCTGCTCTGGGCACTCAGCACTGCAGCGACCCCTGAGTGCACAGGCTGCATGAGGTTCTGGGATCTCTGTCTGGGGCCCTACAGGAGATGTTGAGCTAGTCTTGGTTGTCCCAGGGCCCCCCTGCTAGACCCAGGATGTTTGAGCACGGGGAGAGGTTGGCTGTGTGGGGCTGTGTCTCTGCTGCCAGCACAGAGATACAAGGCAGAGTCATTGGGCTCCAGGGCGTCCACGTGAAGGTAGAACCTGGAGCTGTCTGGGCACTCAGGTGAGAAGCGACCGGAAGCAGTCTCATTCTCAACAAGTACCTTGTAACTGTAGGCAAACATGAACTTTGGTGGCTTCTGAGCGCTCTGTTGATACCAGTACACAGCATTATGTCCCAAATGTTGTTCACACTTGAGGGTCACTCTCCTCCCTGTCTCTGTTAACAGGTGTTTTGGGATCTGGGTAATTCCAGTGTCCATGGGGACTGTTGAAAGAAAGGGACAAAATCAGACAAAGCCCAGAAAGAAGAGTGTTGCTGTGGCCACAGGGACACTGCTTGAGGTTCCAGGGCAACATCTGGAACCTGAGACTCACCTGCTCCCAGAAGACAGAGAGCCACAGAGCACAGCAGCCTGCAGCCCATGTCAGAGAGGTTGTGGGCATCATCTAACTAGGGTGTCCTGGGGAAGGGGCTGGGCTCTGGTCTCCTGGGCTTTGGTTGGTGATTTGCTTGTGATGTCACTGTCCCTGTCATTTTCACCAGCCCCAGAGGATATTTCTTCTTCCCCTTTCACACCTTTTTTAGATTCTGAGAGAAGGTGAATTCAAATGGCCTGGGCTGAGCTATTCCTCTACCAGTTGCTCTCATGCTATTAGCTGCTGTCCTCATTATACAGACTCTCCATCCCCCCATCATTCCAACAGGCAGATTAAAGGACTCTGCTAAGGGACAGCCTAATTCACTCAAGGCCCTCCTTACTTCCCTGTTCAGTCCTGCAGACTTCACCCAAAACATTGCTTCCCTTAGGGTCTAAGCTTCCTTGATCCCTTCTGTGCATATCAGTGGAGAGGGGAATTGGAGGGCAGTACTTCCTTCTGAGGTCACTGCCCTGCACTCAAGAGGCAGGACTGTACTGCCAGCAAGGACCAGGCACTGGGAAGGGTGGCCGAGGGGACAAGGGATCAGCCAACCCCCACCCCAGTACTGAAGGTATAGTACTTGCCTGTGCTTAGAGCAAACAGGATGGTCAAGGAGAACAACACAAGTTAGCTGTGTAGGACCAAAGGGAATCAATTTGAAAATTATTCTCATTTAGTATCTTTGAGGAATCTGCAACCAATCCCCCCCACCCTAGACCTAAAACTGGAGCCTCAATGCCATGCTTCACTCCACAATCCTTCCATTATTCACTCCCCTGCCCTCCCCTCCCCCTACCTCTGTGTTTTCAAAAGAGCCACATCGCCTCCTTGGGGCCAAGGTCACATATTTCCCGATTGCAGGCTTCTAACCAGCCCCGTGGTAGCAGGTGGATGATGCCTATAGCTCATTCTCCAGAGAGGAAGACAGAGGGAGGGGGCAGGGGTCAGCGGCTCTGTGAGGGGTACAGGATCCCCCGGCCTGTGAAGACGAAAGTGGCTTCTGAAGCAACAAAAAGAGCAATATTGCTGTTCAGCCATATATCTAGGACATTCAGTCTCTACTCATTTTTCTTTTTTTTTCTACTAATTTTTCTAATGGAATAAAGTTTATCGGATTTTAGCGTAGCCCCTAAAACAAAAATGTAAGGGTAGATGGGTTCCAATTCAAGCAAAGGAGTTGGTATTCTCCTCTTGAACAAGTTAGGTAGATAATGGATGCCTGATTCATTACTGGTGGAGATATTTCGTTTTTAGACAAGAACCCAAAATTAATCCTGGAGGAAAGGCTGGCACTGTTATTATTACATTTAGTATGCCGGACGTGACTGTGGCAAAGAGATACAGATTGGCCATTCTACAAGCGTCGAGCTAAAACATGAATAAATATAATTCTACTGTATTGTTTGCCTTCCACCAAGCAAAGCTCCAATGATACAAAAAAAAAAAAAAAACCCAATATATTTAAACTGATATCTTGACCACTAAGTGGAAATTAAAGGCTCAGTTGCCCTGACAAAAATAGTTAACAAACCTTTCCCACTCAAGGGGTAGAAGTGAAAGTCTGAAAAGTGCTTTTAAGCCATGTGGATACGGGATATGCCTATGGACAGAAAATGATGTAAGGACGACCCGAATCACAGGAAGAAACAGTGAAGAGGTACAATGGGAAACAGGTAAGGAAACTGATATAAACTCTGTCTGTATATAATAATGCCAAATGTGGCTTGAAGATCCCAAGAAGGCTTGGATCTGGGGCACAAAATCCCGAAAAGGAACTCTAAGCATGAATGTAAGGAAATCCTCTTTCTTCTTGGCTACTTTCTGATGTTCATGCACATGCACAGCCTGGGAGTCCAAAGCTGAGAGAGCACAGGTTCTACTGGGCTGGGGAGCTGAGCAGAGATTTCAGAAGATGTCGAGCAAGAAGACATCAGCATCCAGATCCAGTTAGGATGAGAGACGTTGGTGAATGTGCTGTGATTCTGCACTGAGACCCCAAAATTCTATGCTGTAGGAATAATGACCACATGCTAGGGCTCCGTACCAGGGAGGGCAACACTGAAATAAAATCTAGCAAATCCTACAGTGAAACTGCCAGATTGAAACCTAATGTTCTTCAGAAGAGCACAGAGAACCCAGAGTATCCCACCTATATTGTCCAAAATGCCCCACAGAAACCCTTTATAATCTTCCCTGAAGAATCTTTTAGACGTCTCCTCATTGACTATTCCATCCGCACACTCTCACTCTTCTGATCTATACTGTACCAGTGCTGCTGTACCAAATTCCAATGTGCTCATGCTACCTGGCTTCAGGTAGGACCCATGACTAGCTACTGCCTTGAGATTCATGTCCAGAGTCCTTTGAAGGTTTATAATATCCTCCATCACCAGTGTATGGCATGAGCGGCAGGAATCTTCAAGATGCCACTGGATCTGAATTGGAAAGTGTGGCCCTGGTCATCCTTCTGGAAAGGAGGGAGTCTGCAGAGCACAAGCCTACCCCTCCTGGGGCTTACCCCCAACACAGTCTTTCTAGTTCACATATTGCCAGAACTTTTATCCTTCTACAAAGAGATTTCTATCCAGCGACTCAGTGATGATCTGAATATTTCTACAATCTTAGGTATTTAATCTTTCTCTCTTTTTCCTCTCTAGGCTTTTGCTCATCGAATATTTTTAGTGAATAGTGTATTCAGTTATACTGTTTATACCATTGGCATCCAAATGTACAGCAGAGATATTCAAGGAATGGCTCCTTCTACCATGCAAGATCTTCAGCACATGGGACAAGGTACTTCCTTTTTCCTGAAATTCTGAGTACTTCAGTAAATTTATTGGAAATCCTGAGAACATCAGTGAATTTATTGCTCTAGCTGATAAATGGATTTCTGTAAGGCTTGTCAGAGCTTAACTGTAGATCTGCCCCATCAGGGATGTTGGCAGCCTGTACTACAGATTGGAAACTCCATTCAGAGATCTCACGAGGGCATTAGGGGTGGTGGTGAATGGAGCTTAGGTTCATGTGAACATATAGTCCCCACAGCTTCCTGGCTGGGCCAGGGGGTTTGTGCACAGGGGTGTAGTGAGTGTGTAGGGCTGTGTCTTGGCTGCTGGCACAGAAATACACAGCAGAGTCACCTGTCTCCAGGGAGTCGACATGAAGGTTTAAATGAGCTTTGTCAGATGTCTTAGGTGAGAAACGACCTGGAACTGATTCATTTAGACTGAGTTCCTGATTAAAGTAGATAAACATGATCTTCAGCAGTTGCTTGAGGTCTTGCTTATACCAGTACATAGCATTATGGCCCAGATTTTGCTCACATTTTAGTAACTTCTTAGATCCCACGTGCGCGATGAGGTATCTTGGAGTCTGGGAAACTGTTGTGTCCAGGGGTGCTGAGAAGGAAAGGAGAAGAATTCAGACCAGTCCCAGATGGCAGGCTCTTGCTGGCCACATGACGAACAGGCCTAGAGACTTAATTTTGCAGCACACCAGCTGGACCAAGGACTCACCTGCTCCCAGGAGGCAGAGGACCATACAGCAGAGGAACCCGGAGCCCATGGTGGAGACAGGCACAGTCTGGTCCTCAGTGGTGAGAAAGAGGCGGCAGTTCTCCACTGCCCTGACAGGTGCGCTGCCTGTGATGTCACAGCCCAGAATGACTTCCCCATGCTGGGCCTCTCCTCTTCCTTCATTTCCTGCCCTTGTGCCTTTCAAGACATGCTAATTTCTCCTCTTTTTCTAAGGAATTTGGAATATCTAGGGATAGTTTGAATGGGACATCTCTTGCCTCAGGAATATATCTCTGCCTCCCTGGGTTTTGGCTGGCACACATCTGGCCACCTCCTCCCTCCTCCTCGTTTTGGCTCCACTCTCAGATGTGGGCAAGTTTCTTTTTTCTGTATCTTCTCATCTTTCTCCACAGTAATACAGGGAGATCCCTCTCAAATCTTGGTTCCACTGAATCTCTGATGTGTGCTCTGCCGCCCCCTGGCTACTCAGTTGTGGACAAAAGAACCACTGTGGGGTCTCCCACAGGCACCAGCTGCAGACAACTAAAATGCATGAAGGAATGTTAGGAGCAAGCTGTGATGAGAAGTCCCCTTGAGGGGGACCATACTGCAACCCCATTCCCTGTGAAGGTGTTCTCCGTCTGAGGGGCAGTTCAATGTAGTGAGCAGGAGGCAGTTAGGCAATGAGCCATTCCTGTGGGACAGGAGCAAACAGTTGGAGAAGTGAATGACAGCAAGAGAGTGGGGGAAAACCTGGGCTGAATGACTTTACTGTCCTTGACCTGTCTACAGGTCACCTTCTTTTGTGGTACCAAATTTACAACTAAATGTTTAGCCTAAGGCATCTCAACCTCAGAGATATTGTAGTATTGTTCTGGATAATTCTGTCTTGTGGGCTCTGCTTAGCAGCATCCATGATCTCTATCCACTACATGCCAGGTGCAATCCCCACCCCCAGCTAGGACAATAAGAGGTCTCTACCATCACCAAATTGCCGCTGTTGACAACCACTGTCCCCTTAATTCATTGTAGCATTCCTCTGCCCCACTCCACCACCTCTTTTAGGGGTTTCAGTAGCACCACGGCTCCTCCTAGTGGTTATCAAGGTACACTTCTCAGATCTCAGTGCCCTCCAGGGCAGAGTCCAGCCCTTCCTAAGCCAAGTTAGAAGGAGCTAGGCATGGGAGCACAAAAACTATGACTTCCACGGGGGAAGCAGGCACACATGCACATGCCCACACCACACCCCATTACACACTCAGTTTAGCAACACTAACTGTCAACTACTTATCAAACTTGTTCAAAAACAGTTGCTTTCCTTTTCTTTTTTTTTTTTTTCTTAATTGAACACAAAACAGGTGCTTGGGACACATTAGTGAGCCAAACAGACACAACCCACATCCTTCCTGGAACTCTAACATGCTTTACCTGTTTTCAGTCAATGAATGCCTGTTTAGTGTTAAAGCACAGGGAAGGCAGTGTTCTCAGGATCATGATGCTTGTATTCTGATAGGAACAAAAAGAAATTCAGATACTACTCTAGGCTTATAAGACATACATTATATGGAAGTTAGAAATACAATCAGTAGTAATACGCTCAAAAAATGCCCTTTATATGACTTCCCAATTCCTCATCGCTAAATCAATTTGTTGAAATAATAACTTCCAAAACTCTATCCAGGTTTGGACTGTATGATGCTAACCAACTGCACCCCTAAATGTTTCCTGGGTTAACGGGGCTTATGCACGCAGTTCCCAAGTACCTATTTCAAAGTCCTTCTCATGGGAAGCTCTACAATGAAAGAAAGAAGGTAAGGTGGGATAAAGAGATCATGCTCCAGTGACAAAGGATATATCTGAGAAACCACTTTTCCCTGAGAGTTACTGCCAACTTATTGTCAGCAGCTAGGAAGGAAGAGAAAACTGAGGTGAGAAGCTTGGAGGATCTCACATGGACTTACTTGTCTGCGTAACATCATTTGTGTTCAGGGACTGCCACCTAGGAGAGAGTTCCAGTGAAGACCCAAGACTTGGGGCTCAAAGTAGGAGCAGGACTGGCTGAAATGAGCACAAAGGAACTTTTTTTTTGGGGGGTGGAGGTGTTTCTGAACTGAATTGTGGTGAGGGTTGAGAAGTGCATGAATATATTTAAGCTCACTGAGTTGTACACTTGAAATGGGAAAATATTATGTTATGCAAATTACACTTCATTAAAGTAAAAACACTCCAGAGATTTTGTTTGGAACCTAAGTGATCACATACTTGGAGCAAAGTGAACAGCCATCAAGAACTCGAAGCTTGCCTTCAATCTACCTCACTTATCAACCAGATTCTGAAGCCTTTCCTCCACCAAGATGCTGCAGTGTAAACAAGAAGGAATCCTCTCTTAAAGAAAAACATTATGCAGAAACTTCCTTCATCTTCTCTCTATAATTTTTCGTATATGATATCTAGCATTCAAACTTATATCATCATTTGCTTGAGGACACTTGATCACATGGCCAATCCAAGAAGGGAAACAGAAGAAACAGACTCAAAATGATTCAGGTGGAGTTTTCAGAAACTGACATGGAAATAACTGTTATTAATATATTCAAAGGAGCGCACGACAAAATGGAGAATTTACAAGACCACTGGAAAACATAGTACATACTTAAGTGGAGATTGTAGAACTGAAATACACAAAACACATATGTAAGAATAATCTGTATGGGTTTCAAAGCAGAACAGATACATTTGAAAAGAATAGGTAAAGTGGATGATAAGTCAGATGGAAATAAATAGGCCAAATTGAGTGCAGAAACCAAAAGAATGGAAAATATGAAAATCATGAATATTAATTGGGCCATCATTATACTTGCTCCTCAATCTAGAACTTTCTAGGGACTCTGAGACGTATACAAAAACTTTAACCAGCAGTTCACATCCTCAATTGATTGAAGATTCTCCCATAGAACATTATTTCCCTGACATTTCTGGGCTATGCATGTCTAAGTTTCAAAAGGCCATTTGAGGTTCTTAACCAAGGCCATAGAGTATATAGGAAGGAAACTAAATACATAGTCCATATTTAGGAGGAGGTTCAATCGATATGGAATGGATCAGTGTCTGCTTGGAGGAGGTGCATGAATTAGTTGTGGGTGGAATCAGTGTGGGGCCAAGATGATAGGAGCGATACAAAAGAAGCACTTGATACAGTCCACCCCTTGCTTTGCTTCAAGTCCAAATACTAAGATCTTCAGGTGGTGACCAGCTGCAATCCCTACAGGCACAGGTTTAGGGCTACAGGTGTGCTTCAAGTACTGTACTCAAGCCATAATTGATGCTTATTATCTCCCTTCATCACCAATTGTGGAATTCTCCACCTTTTTTTTTTTTTTTTTTAGCACTTCAGTGGTCTTATCTGTTTGCTCAATGGAGTGACCCAGACATTCATCTCTGAGGGTTTCAATCCCCTTAGGTTCCTATTTTGTCAAGCCACAATGCTTGCACCTGCAAAAATGTCATTATCAGCTGGGATTTAGGGACCAAAGGATGATTGAATTAGTTTCCTGATATCCAGGTAAACCTTTCCCTTTTCCACTGTGTAGCAGAAACTCATGATAATCACCTAATGATAATCAAGATCAATACCTTTGGGGCAGCCCAGGAGGCTCAGTGGTTTAGTACCACTTTCAGTCCAGGGCCTGATCCTGGAGACCTGGGATAGAGTCCCACGTCAGGCTCCCTGCATGGAGCCTGCTTCTCCCTCTGCCTGTGTCTCTGCCTGTCTATCTCTCTCTCTCTCTCTCTCTCTCTCTCTCTCTCTCTCTCTGTGTGTGTGTGTGTGTGTCTCATGAATAAGTAAATAAAATCTTAAAAAAAAAAGATCAATGCCTCTGTACTTAAGTACTGGATCGCAGCAAGAGGAGCTGCAAATGACCAGGCACAGTCATAGTTCTGGTTCACTGGGATCTTTACCATGTCCTGTGGTGGAAGCATCCATCCATCCTCCTCCTTGTCCTCACAAACTCTTATTTAAGGACCCTAAAAATACAGGAAAATGCAGTTTGAATTTACAACTGGATCAATGGGAGCCTTGAGGAGAAGGATACCCATCCTAACACTAGTCTATGGCTTCTGGAATCATGGATTGTTTCCATAGTGGCATATTTCACTCGTTTGTTCAAATCATAGCACCTCCTAGAGGATATGTCCCTAGTCTACAGGTGTTATATCTGAGCCAGCCCCTTAGCCAAAGTTTTACTAGATCCTTGTTTCATTCTTTAAGGTCAGATGCTTCTGAGAGATGCAGTATGCAAAAAGAAACTGGACCTCATAGTTAGAAACCCATGATTTCATTTCCTTAGCACTAAAATGTGTGTTTTAGTCTGCTATTTGTATAAGAACTAAAATCAGTAAGACAGTCATTCTCTAACACTTGATCGTGGTTCTGGCATGGATGCAATTAAGTGAATATTTCATGTGTCTATGATGATAGGATCTGATCACACTCTTTGCCTTCCTTTTCATTGCTTTAGCTCATCCTGACTGATTATGAGGAAATCCACTCTTTTATTTGAAGACTTCCTTCTACCTTTCTTGCTCCAACGCATCCAAAACACTGGGGTCTTATTCAAAACTGAGACAGTGAATCTGGTTGCCCCATGTCAAGTTCAGGGTGACAGGCTCATTCCTGTTCTCTTCTCTTCTGTTTGGTTCTTGCTGCTGAATTCTGATGCTGCCCTCCCAGCTTTACTTGGTGATTTTCTGGCGGGTCTAGACCTCTGTTGGCCTTGAAGTGGTGTCCCAATATAGGACTCTATCATTACTGTTCCCTTAACTCATTCTTACATAAGTTAATGCATCAGGTACTTTGGAAAAGACCCACTGATAATTCAGGCCTCTGTGTAGACTTGCATGTCCTTCTGAGGATTTATCATTGGAAATCCTCTATACTGTCATGCAAATACCAAAAGCCTTGCTTGGTTATCATTTCTCCATTCTATGAATTAAAATGACTAATTTCTAAGCTACTAACACAATACAAAACAAAATCCAAGATGTAGAAGGAGGTAAAGAGAGAACCTACAACATGTCTTGGTGACT